TTTTCCAAAAAAGTGGTTAAAATTGGTTTAATCGACTGAAGATTGGTGTCAAATTGTAGATAATTTTTGGCCGGTTACGATTCTGAAATCGCCGCCACAATATCTGGTCCAATAAACACGCAAAGTGAATTCAACGTTTCCAAACATTTTCCAAAAAAGTGGCTAAAATTGGTTTAACCGACCGAAAATTGGTGGCAAATTGTCGACAGTCTTTCGCTAGTTACGATTTTAAAATCGCCGTGACGATATCTTGTCCAACAAAGACGAAAAGTGAACTCAAAATTTCCGAAAATTTTCCAAAAAAGTGGTAAAAATTTGTTTAATCGACTGAAGATTGGTCTTAAATTGTAGACAATCTTCCGCTTGTTACGATTCTGAAATCGCCGCCACGATGTCTCGTCTAATAAAGACGAAGAGTGAATTCAACTTTTCCAAAAATTTTCCAAAAAAGTGGTTAAAATTGGTTTAATCGACCGAAAATTGGTGTCCAATTGTAGATAATCTTCCGCTAGTTACGATTCTGAAATCGCCGTGACGAAAACTCGTCCAATAAAGACGAAAAGTGAATTCAAAATTTCCAAAAATTTTCCCAAAAAGTGGTAAAAATTAGTTCAATCGACCGAAAATTGGTGTCAAATAGTAGATAATCTTCCGCTAGTTAGGATTCTGATATCGCCGTGACGATATCTTGCCCAATAAAAACGAAAAGTGATTTCAAAATTTCCAAAAATTTTCCAAAAAAGTGGTAAAAATTGGTTTAATTGACCGAAAATTGATGTCAAATTGTAGATAATCTTCCGGTATTCAAGATTCTGAAATCCCCGCCACGATATTTGGTCCAATAAGCACGCAATGAGAAATCAAAATTTCCAAAAATTTTCCAAAAAAATGGTTAAAATTGGTTTAATCGACTGAAGATTGTTCTTAAATTGTCGATAATCTTCCGCTTGCTACGATTCTGAAATCGCCGCCACGATATCTCGTTCAATAGAGACGAAAAGTGATTTCAAAATTTCCAAAAATTTTCCAAAAAAGTGGTTAAAATTGGTTTAATCGACCGAAAATTGGTGTCAAATTGTAGATATTCTTCGGGTTGTCACGATTCTGAAATCTCCGTGACAATATCTTGTCCAATAAAGACGAAAAGTGAATTCAAAATTTCCAAAAATTTTCCAAAAAAGTGGTTAAAATTGGTTTAATCTACCGAAAATTGATGTCAAATTGTAGATAATCTTCCGCTTGTTAAGATTCTGAAATCGCCGTGACGATATCTTGCCCAATAAAGACGAAAAGTGATTTCAAAATTTCCAAAAATTTTCCAAAAAAGTGGTTAAAATTGGTTTAATTGACCGAAAATTGATGTCAAATTGTAGATAATCTTCCGCTAGTTAAGATTCTGAAATCGCCGTGACGATATCTTGCCCAATAAAGACGAAAAGTTAATTCAAAATTTCCAAAAATTTTCCAAAAAAGTGGTAAAAATTAGTTCAATCGACCGAAAATTGGTGTCAAATTGTAGATAATCTTCCGCTAGTTAAGATTCTGAAATCGCCGTGACGATATCTTGCCCAATAAAGATGAAAAGTGATTTCAAAATTTCCAAAAATTTTCCAAAAAAGTGGTTAAAATTGGTTTAATTGACCGAAAATTGATGTCACATTGTAGATAATCTTCCGCTAGTTATGATTCTGAAATCACCGTGACGATATCTCGTCCAATAGAGACGACAAGTGAATTCAAAATTTTAAAAAATTTTCCAAAAAGTGGTTAAAATTGGTTCAATCGACCGAAAATTGGTGTCAAATAGTAGATAATCTTCCGCTAGTTAGGATTCTGATATCGCCGTGACGATATCTTGCCCAATAAAAACGAAAAGTGATTTCAAAATTTCCAAAAATTTTCCAAAAAAGTGGTTAAAATTGGTTTAATTGACCGAAAATTGATGTCAAATTGTAGATAATCTTCCGCTAGTTAAGATTCTGAAATCGCCGTGACGATATCTTGCCCAATAAAGACGAAAAGTGATTTCAAAATTTCCAAAAATTTTCCAAAAAAGTGGTTAAAATTGGTTTAATTGACCGAAAATTGATGTCACATAGTAGATAATCTTCCGCTAGTTATGATTCTGAAATCACCGTGACGATATCTCGTCCAATAAAGACGACAAGTGAATTCAAAATTTCAAAAAATTTTCCAAAAAATTGGTTAAAATTGGTTCAATCGACCGAAAATTGGTGTCCAATTGTAGATAATCTTCCGCTAGTTACGATTCTGAAATCGCCGTGACGAAAACTCGTCCAATAAAGACGAAAAGTTAATTCAAAATTTCCAAAATTTTTCCAAAAAAGTGGTAAAAATTAGTTCAATCGACCGAAAATTGGTGTCAAATTGTAGATAATCTTCCGCTAGTTAAGATTCTGAAATCGCCGTGACGATATCTTGCCCAATAAAGACGAAAAGTGATTTCAAAATTTCCAAAAATTTTCCAAAAAAGTGGTTAAAATTGGTTTAATTGACCGAAAATTGATGTCACATTGTAGATAATCTTCCGCTAGTTATGATTCTGAAATCACCGTGACGATATCTCGTCCAATAGAGACGACAAGTGAATTCAAAATTTCAAAAAATTTTCCAAAAAGTGGTTAAAATTGGTTCAATCGACCGAAAATTGGTGTCAAATAGTAGATAATCTTCCGCTAGTTAGGATTCTGATATCGCCGTGACGATATCATGCCCAATAAAAACGAAAAGTGATTTCAAAATTTCCAAAAATTTTCCAAAAAGTGGTTAAAATTGGTTTAATTGACCGAAAATTGATCTCAAATTGTAGATAATCTTCCGATAGTTAAGATTCTGAAATCCCCGCCACGATATTTGGTCCAATAAGCACGCAATGAGAAATCAAAATTTCCAAAAATTTTCCAAAAAAATGGTTAAAATTGGTTTAATCGACTGAAGATTGTTCTTAAATTGTCGATAATCTTCCGCTTGTTACGATTCTGAAATCGCCGCCACGATATCTCGTTCAATAGAGACGAAAAGTGATTTCAAAATTTCCAAAAATTTTCCAAAAAAATGGTTAAAATTGGTTTAATCGACTGAAGATTGTTCTTAAATTGTCGATAATCTTCCGCTTGTTACGATTCTGAAATCGCCGCCACGATATCTCGTTCAATAAAGGCGAAAAGTGAATTCAAAATTTCCAAAAATTTTCCAAAAAAGTGGTTAAAATTGGTTTAATCTACCGAAAATTGATGTCAAATTGTAGATAATCTTCCGCTTGTTACGATTCTGAAATCGCCGCCACGATATCTCGTTCAATAGAGACGAAAAGTGAATTCAAAATTTCCAAAAATTTTCCAAAAAAGTGGTTAAAATTGGTTTAATCGACCGAAAATTGGTGTCAAATTGTAGATAATCTTTCGATAGTTACGATTCTGATATCGCCGTGACGATATCATGCCCAATAAAAACGAAAAGTGATTTCAAAATTTCCAAAAATTTTCCAAAAAGTGGTTAAAATTGGTTTAATTGACCGAAAATTGATCTCAAATTGTAGATAATCTTCCGATAGTTAAGATTCTGAAATCCCCGCCACGATATTTGGTCCAATAAGCACGCAATGAGAAATCAAAATTTCCAAAAATTTTCCAAAAAAATGGTTAAAATTGGTTTAATCGACTGAAGATTGTTCTTAAATTGTCGATAATCTTCCGCTTGTTACGATTCTGAAATCGCCGCCACGATATCTCGTTCAATAGAGACGAAAAGTGATTTCAAAATTTCCAAAAATTTTCCAAAAAAATGGTTAAAATTGGTTTAATCGACTGAAGATTGTTCTTAAATTGTCGATAATCTTCCGCTTGTTACGATTCTGAAATCGCCGCCACGATATCTCGTTCAATAAAGGCGAAAAGTGAATTCAAAATTTCCAAAAATTTTCCAAAAAAGTGGTTAAAATTGGTTTAATCTACCGAAAATTGATGTCAAATTGTAGATAATCTTCCGCTTGTTACGATTCTGAAATCGCCGCCACGATATCTCGTTCAATAGAGACGAAAAGTGAATTCAAAATTTCCAAAAATTTTCCAAAAAAGTGGTTAAAATTGGTTTAATCGACCGAAAATTGGTGTCAAATTGTAGATAATCTTTCGATAGTTACGATTCTGAAATCGCCGTGACGATATCTTGTCCAATAAAGACGAAAAGTGAACTAAAAATTTCCGAAAATTTTCCAAAAAAGTGGTTAAAATTGGTCTTATCGACTGAAGATTGGTCTTAAATTGTAGATAATCTTCCGCTTGTTACGATTCTGAAATCGCCGCCACGATATCTCGTTCAATAGAGACGAAAAGTGAATTCAAAATTTCCAAAAATTTTCCAAAAAAGTGGTTAAAATTGGTTTAATCGACCGAAAATTGGTGTCCAATTGTAGATAATCTTCCGCTAGTTACGATTTCGAAATCGCCGTGACGATATCTTGTCCAATAAAGACGAAAAGTGAACTCAAAATTTGCGAAAATTTTCCAAAAAAGTGGTTAAAAGGGGTTCAATCGACCGAAAATTGGTGTCCAATTGTAGATAATCTTCGGCTAGTTACGATTTCGAAATCGCCGTGACGATATCTTGTCCAATAAAGACGAAAAGTGAACCAAGAATTTCCAAAATTTTTCCAAAAAAGTAGTTAAAATTGGTTCAATCGACCGAAAATTGGTGTCAAATTGTAAATAATCTTCCGCTAGTTACGATTCTGAAATCGTTGCCACGATATCTCGTCCAATAAAGACGAAAAGTGAATTCAAAATTTCCTAAAATTTTCCAAAAAAGTGGTTAAAATTGGTTTAATTTTCTATTGCTCAAAATGGTGTTTTTAAAATTTTTAAATTTTTCCTAGTTTGAAAAGAATGTATGTAATAGTTTCACTGTCAGTAAACTCGGTATAAATAATAATAACCTGGCTAATCTTACGGAAATGTGCGGTAACTTTGCTACAAAGATAATGTAGAATCCGCATATACAACAGTTTGCGTTCACTATGTACACAATGTACTTAATTTTTCTTTTGGCTCTTTTAATATGGGTCAGATCTTCACACGAAATCGACCATGATGAGGTAAGTTGATCCAATTATTATTATTATTACCCCTTTTATTAAATAATTTGGTTCTTGTAGTTTGTGGTTGTCTCCACCACAACTCGGTCCCCCTATATTTCTAACCTCGTAGAAAAAATTGACAATTTTTACCAACCTCTGGTACCACCGGAACATAATCGTTTTCCACAAAATTGCAAAGAAGCTCTAGACCAAGGTTCCAACGTTTCTACGTTTTATTTCGTCAGACCTGAGCTTTCCCCACGACCATTCTTGGTTTTGTGTGATATGCAAACCAGAGGAGGTGGCTGGACTTACGTGGTCAACAGATTTAGTGGCTCCCAAAATTTTGATTTACTCTGGACTGATTACAAACGCGGTTTTGGCAACATTGGAGCAGAATTTTGGCTGGGATTAGACAACTTATACTACCTAACAGGTTGTTTCTTGTTTGTTGCCACATTGTTCTAATTTTCTAAGCAATAGGTCAACAAGTTCATGAAGTACTAATCGAACTTGAGGACTGGGACTTCAAGAAAGTGTACGCCTTTTACAATTTTTTTAGTGTTGGTGGTGAAGATGAAGGTTATATGTTGAAGCTTCTGGGAGGCTATGAGGGTACCGCTGGAGATTCTTTAAGTTATAGCGCTGGCTCGAAGTTTAGCACAAGGGACAAGTACCAAGATGACTTCAGTCACAATTGTGCTAATTATAAAGGTGCAGGGTGGTGGTACCGCGATTGTACCGACACGTTACTAACTGGTAAATATTTTCTGAGGAACGAAGCGACGAATTTGGACGGAATTTATTGGCTGGCATTCCGTGGACCCGATTACAGTCTTAAGCAAGCCAGAATGATGATTAGACCACGAAGGACTAACTCGATGTCTCCCCAAGAGAACACGAATACATAAAATGTTACCCAAATATTTTGGCTTAATTCGATCATTCATTTTTTACAGTGGTCAGATAAATTAAACAAAAAGGAAAAATAGAGCAATAGCTAGTTTAGTTAATTTTTTTTTAATGTTAAACAGATTTACTTGTGTTTCTAGGGCGGAAAATGTTCTGTTTAAATAACTGTATTATATATTTTTTTATATGATATTATTATGTGCAAAGCTATTATTTATATGACCCCTTTAAATAAATTAGGTATACTTCATAATTAATGTAGCGTCTGTTGGTTTTTTATTTTTTACAGATTTTAGTGTCATTCGTAAAAACCGAAATTAGAACGGCTTCAATTAAACGGTATTGTAATAACCGAAAATACTGATATCAATATAATCTACCAATGGCTGTTCGAATGTTAATCTCTTGTGGAGAATTGCCACACTACGTACTAAAGCGTCGGGAACCAAAATCGACTGAAGTCTTTGTATTCTGTAACACAACAACGTTACAAAAATTGTGCTTATTCATTTAGTCGTAGAATACAGTTTCTGGAGTTGTTTATCTCAATTGTGGGTTTTTTGAGGTTATTATTGACATGCAACTTTTTCATTTTTTCGGTTTTATTCAATTATTTTCCGAACTTTCACATTTTCATTTGTAATTTTCCAACTGTTGGGTGTTTAGTTTTTGTAATTTTTTTTCCAATTTTCGATTTCAAATTTTTCGTTTCCGTTTTTTTATTTTCTTTATTTTTTCAGTTTTACGGTTCTGATTTTATAATTTTTCTTTTTTCAATGTGAAATTTTTCAGTTTTTGGATTTTTGTCTTTTTCAGTTTTACGATTTTAAAAAATTCCATTTTTCAATTACATATTTATTTGACTTTTCAATTTTCGATTTTTAATTTTTCAAATTTTCGGTTCTTCGTTTTTTCATTTCTTCAAATTCTCTATTTGCAATTTTTTTTTTTGTTTTTTTATCTATATTTTTACAATTTCTCGATTTTCTATTGTTTTTTCAATTTTTCGTTTCTTTAATTTTTCGATTTGCAATTTTTCAATGTTTTCATTTTTTTTGTTCCTTCAGTTTTACGATTTGCAATTATTCGAGTTTTCATTTTAAAATTTTTCAGTTTTTAGATTTGCAGTTTTTCGATTTTTCAACTTTTAGATTATTTAATTTTTCGTTTTTTCAATTTCAGGTTTTTCAGTTTCTTGATGTAATAATAATAATAATAATAATAATAAAAAAAAATTTGACTTATTCAATTTTACGATTTTAGGATTTTTCGAATTTTCAAATATTCATTTGTAATTTTTCAATTTTTAATTTTCTTTCTTCATTTTTACGACATATGCAATTTTTTGGTTTTCCATTTACCAACTTTTGGGTGCACAGATTTTGTAATTTTTCTTCCATTTTTCGATTTCGAATTTTTCGTTTCGAGTTTTCACTTTCTATATTTTTTAAGCTTTCGGTTTTGATTTTATGTATAATTTTTGGTTTTTACAATCTCAGTTTTTCAGTTTTTTTTTTTTCATTTTTCGATTTGCAATTTTTCTATTTTTTATTTTTTTTTTGTTTCTTCAGTTTTACGATTTGCAACTTTTAAAGTTTTTATTTTTAATGTTTTCAGTTTTTTTATTTTTTAATTTTTCATGTTTTCAGTTCTTCGATTTTTCAACTTTTACATTGTTTACTTTTCCGTTTTTTCAATTTGAGATTTTTCAGTTTCATGAGTTTTAATTTTTCAATTATTGATCGTTAATTTTTCGAGTTTTCCTTTTGTAATTTGTTTGTAATAATAACAATTTTTTTCATTTGTTCAATTATTTTTCGAATAGTCAAATTTTCATTTGTAATTTCCCAATTTTTCAATATTTTTTGTTCCTTCAATTTTACGACATGCAAGTTTTTGAGTTATTTTTTTCCAGTTTTTGGGTGTTTAGATTTTGTAATTTTTGTCCATTTTTCGATTTCGAATTTTTCGTTCCTGATTTTATAATTTTGATCGATTTCAGTGTGAAAAGTTTCTTTTTGGATCTTTTACTTTTTCAATTTTACGATTTTTGAAATTTTTCAAATTTTCGATTTTTCGTTCCTTGATTTCTTCAGATTTTTCGATTTAGTTTCACTAGTTTTTAATTTTTCAGTTTTTTGATTTTTTAATTCTTCATGTTTTCAAAACGCAAAAATGTCTTAGTCCACGATACATCAAAAAGCGGCATTTCTGTACAAAACTTTAATTCGTATTTCACGAGCATTGCCTCTGATATAGTAAAAAATTTACCTAGTCCTAAGCTTGATCCTGTTGTTTCTCTTTGTGTTAATAACTATGATATTTTGTGTCATAACTATTTTATTTTTAAGGAAGTATCTGTTGGCTTTGTACACGGTGTCATTGCAAGTTTAAAAACGAGTCGAGCTAGGGATATATTCGGTTTAAATGTGGAAGTACTAAAAAGTATTAAGGATATAATTGCTAGTCCATTGACCAAACTGATCAATGCATGTATAAGAGAGGCTGTTTTCCCAGATTGTCTCAAGAAGGCGGTGGTAGTGCCCTTACTTAAAAAAGATGATCCCCAAGATATAAATAACTATCGGCCTATTTCACTCCTTCCCGTTTTCTCAAAGGTTCTTGAAAAAGTCCTTGCAATTCAATTGGACAGTTATTTTGAAGACAATAACATTTTCTCTGCTCATCAGTTCGGGTTTAGAAAAGGTAGATCCCCTGTGGACGCACTGCTTTCTCTCACTGACAAGGTATGCAATGCTTTTGACTCAAAGGAAACACTTCTAGTAGAATATTTGGACCTATCAAAGGCCTTCGATTGTATGTGTCATACTACCCTTATTCGTAAGCTTTATGCATACAATTTACATCCCCTGAGCTGCAGACTACTAACTTCCTTTCTGAGCAGTCGTATGCAGAGGGTAAGTTTTGAGGGGAAACAATCTGAAGATATCCCTATCAAGTTAGGCATCCCTCAAGGATCTATACTCGGGCCGCTGTTATTCATTATTTTCACAAATGATTTCGCATCGCATTTGAAAGAAGGTGGCACTATTTTATATGCTGATGACACTACTCTGACCAGCAGTGGAAAGTGTTTACAAAAAGCAGCAGAGAGCGCTGAAACATCGCGATCAATAGCTTCCGATTGGTTTAACAGCAACAACTTAGTAATTAATAAAAAGAAGTGTGTCAACATGCATTTTACTCTAAAGCTCATGGACACTGCAAATTTAGATTCTTCCACATCCCCGACATTTGAACATTCTGTCAATTTCTTGGGTCTAACGCTCGATTCCAAATTACGATGGGATCTTCACGGGGATTGCGTAAACAAAAAAAATTAATAAAAATATATATCTGCTACGCAACCTAGCATCTAATGTATCGCAAGTAACCCTAAAAGCTTGTTATTTCGGCATAATTCACAATATTCTTAATTATGGCCTACTTATCTGGGGCCATTCTTCTTCCAGGCACCGCTTGTTTGCAGCGCAAAGAAGGGCCATTAGAATCCTTGCAAACTTACATTACAGGGCCGACTGCCGAGCAGCTTTCAAAGAATTGGGAATTCTTACGTTTCCTTGTATGTTCATTTTGCAATGTTGCTTATATGTAAAATCGAATATATCTAGATTTCACACTCATGCAAGCATCCACACGTACTCTACTCGTCGTAGACACAATTTAAATCAAGAATATGTACGCCTAGATAAAACTGCTACTGGCCACAGATATTATGCTTCCAAATTTTTTAATGCACTACCAACAGTAATGAGAAATTTAAATATACATGTATTTAAAGATACTTTAAAACGTTTGTTGATCAAAAATGCGTTTTATTCGTATGAAGAATATTTGTCTTTTAAATTCAAGTGATGTTCATTGTGTGTGTACTTGTAATATTATATGTGAATATGTATTTTTTTTTTGACCTGTGCAAAAAACAATTTGTTGTAGCATTAATAAACTTTACTTTACTTTACTTTACTTACTTATTTTTCCGATTTTTCAAGTTTTAGGTTTTTTGATTTTTGGTTTTCTCAATTTTAGATTTTTCAGTTTCATAATTTTTTATTTTTCTATTTTGGATTTCCAGCTTTTCTAGTTTTTATTTTAAATATGTAACCATAATAGTAATTTCAAACATTTTTCACTTTTTCAATTTTACGATTTTAGATTTTTTTCATTTTAAAATTATTGGATTTTAAAATTTTTTCATTTATTCAATGATTTTTCGAATTTTCAAATTTTAATTTGCTATTTTCAGTTTATCATTTTCATTTCTTAAAGTCTTTGATTTTTGGTTTTCCAACTGTGGGTGTAATTTAGATTTTGTAATTTTTCTTTCATTTTTCGGTTTATTTTTTGTATTTTTTCTGTTTTTCTTTATTTCAGTGTGCAACTTTTCAGTTTTTCAATTTGCAATTTTCCAGTTTTCAATTTCTTGATTTTTTCAACTTTGAGATTTCTCAAATTTTGGATTTTTCAATTTTAGATTTTTCAGTTTCTCGTTTTTTCAATTTTTGAATTTGACGAGATGCAACTTTTTGAGTTTTGATTTTCCAACTTTTGGGTATTTCGATTTTGTAATTTTTCTTCCATTTTTTGATTTGGAATTTTTCGTTTCGGTTTTTTATTTTCTTTATTTTTTCCATTTTTCAGTTCTGATTTTATAATGTGTCTTCAATGTGAAATTTTTCAGTTCTTGGAGTTTTGTCTTTTTCAATTTTACGATTTTAGAAATTTTCCATTTTTCAATTATTTGTCTTTTGAATATTCGATGTTTAATTTTTCAAATTTTCGATTCTTCGTTTTCTCCTTTCTCCAAATTTTCGCTTTGAACTATTTATTTTCGGTTATTCAGTGTTCCGATTTAATAATTTTTCGTTTTTAAATCAGTTTTTTCAGTTTTTCGTTTCTTTAATTTTTCGATTTGCAGTTTTTCAATTTTTTATTTTTTTTGTTTCTTCAGTCTTATTTTTAAATTTTTCAGTTTTTCGATTTATTAATTTATCATGTTTTCAGTTTTTAGATTTGCCGTTTTTCGATTTTTCAAGATTTAGATTGTTTAATTTTTCTTTTTGTCAATTTCAGGTTTCTCAGTTTCATGATGTAATAATATCAATAATTAAAAAAAATCACTTATTCAATTGTACGATTTTAGAATTTTTCCAATTTTCAATTATTGGATTTTAAAAATTTTCATTTATTCAATTGTTT